GTAGCTTTTCAGCATAGATTTTGACTGTCTAATTAGTTTGAAATGTCTCTGCAAGATTTATTGTAATGATGTCAGCTGAAAAGAAAATCTGTGATTTGTTCTTTTGCTTGGGATATATAAAGTATATCTGGTCACCAAAGTGATTGATCAGCAATTTCTTTATGTTACTGTTGTTAAATGAAGAACCTGAACTTAGTCTACCATACAACAAGTTTCTAACATCAGATATGGCATAACCAAGTTGTGATATTTCCAGTGTTTTCACTACTTCATCAAATATATTCTGTATCTGAGGATCTGTAGCATATTCATCGTCATTCATCAACACATCAACATCACATTGAAATTGCTTCAGGTACTTATTTAAGCAATTTCTATGGTACGTGTGTAGAATCAGACTTCTACATTTTTTTAAAAACACATTAAAAGTGGCTCAGAGCAAAACTTATCTCAAATCAATCCAAGTAGCCCAACAACCCATTAAAATCAGCTCCAGATGAAAAGTAACTAAAAATGCTTTCTGATTGGCTTAATAAACAAAAAAATTCATGATTTCATACATTCTCAACTATGTGTGCATCATATCGGTTTAGTGTGTATCTTAAACAGATACAAATTTGTGCCAAATTTCTTGGAGCCCCTCATGTGACTTGAAACATCAGTAAATATAAAACATCATTTGACTTCGACAGTGAGTCTTACAAATTTTCTCAGCTTGACACACGAATCCATGTTACATATTTTACCAGGCTTAAAGTTAAATTTACTTAACATTTCCACAGCTTGCGCAGTACACTCACTCAGCTACATAAACTCAACACAAAACATCAAGTGACACATTCAATCAAAGAGAGACAACTTCATACACAGAACAGTAAGTTGAGTACAATATTACAAAATTCAACACCAAGAATAAACTATTTAATTTTCATACAAACACCGAAATACTTTATCAAACTTACCAATTTCTCAACTCTTAATCTTTCATATAATATCTTCATAAACACTTCATTCCACACAAGAAAAAAACTTTGAAGCAATTTAAACAACTCTCAACATATAATTTTGTACCTTCTTTTGGTTATATATAAAAAATATTTATTGTTGAACCAAAGTATTGTTTCATATCGTTATTTCTCTTATTGTTTGCTTGCTTTTTGTTAAATTTGTGAAATTTAAAAAAGTAGTAGGTTAATCACATTTCTATCAACCCTTTACAGACTGGTAAACCCGTTTTGTTGGTGGCATTAACAACACTACACATGATATCAGCTGCATAAACATCTTTAATGGTTTTTAGGAAAATATAATGTGTATACACTTTGTCCTTATAGAATGCAATGTCTTTCAAGAGGTTCTTAGCTGGAATTTCATAATTGAGACGATACCTTTGTGACTGTCCCTGAGATTTGATATGATCATATATGATGCATGGTTTATTCCTGGGATCTGACACCTGTAGTTTTATGGCTTTTTTTGTGATTTGAAGGACTTGATATAGGAGTATCAAACTCTGTCTCCGTAGAGCATTTATATGATATTTGTCTATTAGTTTACCATTCCCCTTTCTTCTTATAATTTGAATACCATGTCTTTAAATGATATTTCATTTTGCTCATGTCCCCACTTGATAAGCCATTCAAAAGGCCATCCTGCAGTATTTATGTATTTTGTATTGTTTCTTTCCCATTAAATGGGTTATATACTTTATGGTTAACTTGAGTATCTTTATCATGCTGGCAAATAATACATAAATCCAGATTTCTCTTCTTTTCTGGAATGATCTGGGAAACACATGATGGGCCTGGTAAACTTTCTGACATTTTCAATTCGCAATGCTTTCAGTAAGAGTACAAATTATAAAATTATCTGAAAATAAAAAGAAAACAATTATTTAAAAATAAAACTATATTGAAGTATTTTTTTAATAATAGGAGTCAGGGTTAGAGAAAATACTAGATATGTTTAGTTTTCTCTATCAAAGACTTTTACGTCATTCAGAGTTGTGGTTAAAAACTGGGATATTTGTTGAGATAAAAACTATGGCCATGAAACTTTGCAGAGATATAGGTACTGCATTAACAAAACAAAATAATACTTTAAAAAATATTGGAATTTTTTCAATTATACCCAAATTTACTCTGATTTAATTGCCTAAATTTGGACGAATTTATTCAAGACATGATAATGAAACCTGATAAGAATAAAAATAAATTATGCATAAATGTTTTGTCTTATAAAAATTTTGCTGATGAAAGCTATAACAGATGACTTTATCAAATTTTATTTTAAAATTTAAAATTCAGTAAAAAAGTACATGTTGTGACTTAATTTTCTATGCTTGCTGTGAAAGTTTACACAGTATCCAACTCAGTACAACAGTAGCCATTCAGAGTAGGGATTAAAAACCAGCATATTTGTTTGAGTTAAAAATCATAATATTTGTCATTTAACATGATTTTTTTAACAAGAACACAAGACAACAGGAAAATCCTAAAAATGTTTAGTTTGTGTGTGTACTTAAGGAGGAGGCACGGTGGAGTAATGGATAGCGGCTTGGATTGAGGAATCAGAGAGCCGAGTTCGAATTCCAGTCGAATCCATTACATTCACTTACGTGCTAATACCCTTGGGAAAGGTGTGAATCCTCTTTCTTCTCCCTCCAGCTATGGGTAAATAGCAGGACAGATTGGGTTCTATAGCCTTGGATGGCAACTGGTCTAGGAGAAGGAAAACTCTGAATTCAAAACCTGCTCTTAGATGAGGGTGAATGGAGTCTCTCTGAGCCTTGGTTGGCAATCCATTTAGTGATGGTGTCACAATAAAAGACACCCTTGATAGCCCTAGCGAAGCATCAAGAATTCAGCTATGAACTACACCAATCAAAGTATTAGTGAGTTCGATCTTGGCTGAGGCCGCAAGATGATGATGATGATGTGTGTACTTGATTTTCTATGCAAATAAAATGAAAATATTTTTTAGTATTTCTCATTAAAATTTGAAATTTTCTTGCATTAATAATATAATTAATTACATTGTTTTTATTTATAATATATATTTCTTGATAGAATAATTGGAGCCCTACAAAATGATACCAAGTTTACTGAAATTGGTCAATACAGAGAGAAGTTATTGGCACTAAAGTAAATCCTCCCCTAATTAAATAGTGGCCATCTTGAATTCAAAATGGTGGAAAATTGAACATCAACTCAGACATGGCACCTACTTTTTCATGAATCTCAGATAGTGTATTTACAATATTTGAAGTTAAAATCTCTTGACATGAAAGTTTATATGGGACATAACTCAGCCATTTTTATTATTTTATTTTTTAACTGAATGCATGAATTTTTTTAAGTATGTGTTTGAAGTTATAGGAATGATTTATTTTCCAAACATTGTTATCACCTTGTGGCCATGTTTGTTTAGTTTATCTACAAGATCAGACAAATCAGTATCACAAGCATATATTAATAAAGCATCATTGATATATCGGAAGTATGTTGATTTTTTAGGTAAAAATATTTTGGAAAGGGCTAGACTCAATAAATTCTAAGAAAATACATGCCATCATTCCAGGTGATCTTATTGGTAATCTAAATTTTTGTTTGAAAAAATCATTATTAAATGCAAAATAGCATTGATTGGGGATGAGATGGTAGATTTTTTATTGTTTTAGCTATTGGTAGGGAGAGGTTTATCTTTGATTGCGTTAAATGCTTTTTCGCCAATATTGTTCTTCATTTATAAAAATTTATATATTGTTATTTCATATATATATATATATATAAAATGATATCATTACTCCATATCTAACTACCAATAATAGTATTGCATAAACTGAAGAAGAATTTACTCTATCACCTTTAATAAATGTCACAAAAAATACATAGGAGAAACCACAAGAAATCTAAATAAAAGATTATATGAACATAAAAGTGACATTTCACAAAACAATACATTAAATGCAGTTGTTGCTCACAGTAATGAGACTGACTACAATTTTTGCATAAAAAATACTATTCTGATCAAAGGAGAAAACAATTCACTGAGGCAAAAATGTTTAGAGAGTGCCTCGATCGCAAGGTCATCCACAGTAAATTTGTGCCCTGGCTCTTACAACATTTCCCCATTCCTGGCAGATCTTCTATTATCACAGTGTGGGATATCTACTAGCAAAAGTGATGGCAACAGAAAGAATCAAAATTGGTTAGATTATAAAAATATTTAAAATTTAAAATTCCCAACTTCCTTCATTTTTGCATATGTGTAGTCTCACTAATGTAACAAATTTTGTTTGATGAAGTCCTAAAGAACAAAATGTGTTACACAAAGCCTTTTCCCACTGTCATGCACTTACCCCATATATATATATTGTACAATTATAAAAGTAATTTTATACTTTCTTAAATGACCCAGCCTTAAAGGTAGTATTTTATTCAGAAATATTGCAATAGTTATACGTTATAAATAATTACTTTCATTGTCTTATATATGCTTGACTCAAACCTTTGTTTTGCATTTATCTGTGTTATTATGGAAATTCATAAATACTTCTGCTGTTAGAAATGCCTAATAATTATCATAATTAAAAATATTCTCTGTTTTATCTTTCTTATATATATATATATATATATATATATATATATATATATAAAAAAAAGGCTTAAACACCAATATTCCATGGTCATAATTTATTCCATTAGAATCGTAAATACGATCCAATTCATCAGACCTACAAATTTACCACTAATATTAGCTATATATATATATATATATATATATATATATATATATAAAAGGTTCTAAAATATTTACTGTGTAAGTAAAAATTCTAAATGATCCAATGCATTATCTCAGTATGGATATTTTTAATGTGTATTTTATATAAACTCAAAATGTCTATTGAAAATATGTGTATAAAACATATTTAAAATACAAGTGAATTAAATAAAATAGAATTAAAGTTGCATTATTTCATGTCTATTTCGTATTTTCAGCTTCGTGATAAAGATAAAGTAACAGCAGATATAATTGAAGGAAAATGGAAAGCTCTTGATCTGCCAAAAGAACAGTTTGACGAACTTTTAAAGATTGGAGATCTTCATGGATCATTTGAATGGGAGAAGTTTCTTGCTTTGGCAGCATCTGCACTAGCTGAGGTGAATCAGATTGATTTTGTTGTAGTTTTAACATTTGTTATCATTAATAATTTGACAATTAATATCACTTTAGCCCTTTTTCTTTACATATCAACTGAGTTTTCTTAAGTCTCTATTAATAAGCGTCAAATAAGTTATATTGAAATTTTTATGGATCATCTGATATATGTAAAGTAAAAAAGATTGTCATGAAGTACTTTATCCTTCATCATCATATATTGTTGTTTATAAATTCAAATCACCAAAGCAAAATATTGTCCAAACAGAACATTAAATTGATTTAAAATGTGTGTACATCTGTGTTTACACTGTAAAAAACAAAGCAAAAAAAAAAATAAATAAATAAACAGGCATAGAAGCAGAAAAGATGGATTTTAGTTTCTAAAGTCTTTTGAAAAATAAGCAAGAACTGTTGTATATATTATTTAAAGTATCCAATGAATATTTGTCATCATTTAAAACATTTTTACATAATGTATGTCTTCCTTTTCATTTATTTTTACCCATTGCATGATCATCACAGTTCTCTCCTTCTACATTTTCATCTGATGAAAACCTGGAACTGACCAACTTTTTTCTTGGGTAGACCAATGCTCTTTCTACTCTGCTGAATCCTATATCTGATGTATTCACCTAATTGGCTGAACCCTTATGATCCAATACCGTTTTCAATACAAATACAATATCACTGTCCCCCTTGATAATTTGGAATTACTATTAATCTTCTTGATTGAAGGAGATGTAACCCATTCAGGGTATATTGATTTTCAGACAGTCTGAATTTCTACAGAAAAAGTTGGTAACAATAGGATATTTAAATATTTGCTTCTATTCATTTTTTTACTGTTCTCATAGATTTGGCCAGAATGGTAATAGTAATAGTAATATTAGCCATTTCCTTATTAGGAAACATTTGGCATTCACTGACCAAGCATCCTGTACTACTATCAGTTGAAATTTATAAAATCTATCTCTTAAAACAATCTTTCAGTAAAATTGCACTTTCTATTACTGATGGAGGTTTCCTTTCTAACCTTTTATTTGAAGTAGTGTGAAATGTCAACATCTTGATTATATCATTATTTTCTCTTTGATTTACATGTGACATCTATTTTAGTTGTTACTGTTGTTGAAAGTGATGTTGTTTCTGTTTTTTGGTACAGTTGTTTGTGATTCTTTAGTACCAGTCCACAAAGTTAAAAGAAGAATGGTCCTTACTAAGAGCTACAGTTTTTATTTGTTCAAAGCAATTTTTAATCATTGATCTTAGATAGCAGTTGTAAAGAGCTGACAGTTTAGATATTTCTGAATGTGTTGACACTATGGATGGCATCCATATGAAAACCTCAATATGATATGGTTATTTAAGAACATGCCTCAAGTTTTCAGATTAATGTTTTGACCAATGAATTCTTGGTTGGTTCCATGATATCTTCTCTTTTGCTGAAAAGATTCCAGCATTCACATGCATGGCCTTGGTGTTTACATCCAGTATAATCTTCCAATGGTCAGGGAATTGTCTCTCGTGGATACTGACTACTCTTTCATGTGCTTCTGTTAGCTATCTCTTTTTCATTTATTACTCCCCTCTTCCCAAGACTGCAGTATATTATATGTAATAGCTGACAGTATAGAAAAGTTGCTTTTTCCCCATCCATCTGTGAATATCTTTGTCTTTGATGACTTTAATGCTTACCATAACACATAGCTGAAACATTTTAAATGTACTGATGTTGCTGGTATTAAAACAGTAAATTTTTCCATTGCTCAATTCCTTACTCAAATCATGCTTGTTTCCTTAGCAAAACTGAGCAACTTGGATTTATTTCTGTTATGATGTTGATTTGAGGTTAATAAAGACAAACGCCAAATAACACGTAACAAAAAAAAGGGGTTTATTCGGTTGGTAAGTAGGTACAGAAATCGCCTGAGTAGTCTATAACTAACTCAGCCAAGAACTTCTCCGACTCTGTCTGTCTTTTGACATGCCACTATTTAACATCTTTGTTTGTAGACAAGTTCATCTTCAAGAGGGGTGGTAGGTTTCCTACACAACAATTTCTTACCTCCTCTCCTCACTCTTGTTGAGCTTCACAATACTGCTTTCTTGGTAACTTGGATCACTTTGTGGTAGATATTGATATTTGTTTCAATCATCCATTAAAAAGGTATCCCCTATCCATAAAACCTCTTTCCATTACCAGCAGGCTGATTGGAACTCACTCCATGACTCCCCATGGACTGAACTGACATTTTCAACCTTCCAACTGAAAATTGCATCACTGAGGTTTCTTCTTGGGTCAAAGCTGGTGTGGATGCTTTCATCCCTTCTAGGAAATACCAGATGAAACCTCAAACCTCTCCATGGTTCACACCAGCATGCTCAACCACTATACCACATGGGAACCACTATTTTCAGCTATACCAGCATGACAACTCTTGTCACAACTGGCACCTATTCATTACTGCCCATAATAAATGTAAGCAAGTCCTTGAAGGGGCTAAGTTCTGGTTTGCAAAGAGAATGAGGCACTGCATAACCTCTAACAACTTTGGCTCTCATGATTACTGGCAGCTCTGTAATAGGGTATTAAATAAGTGCAAGGTCTCTATGCCCCCCCCCACTTCAATTGATTTGAGGTTTTGAGAGAATCTCTATTGAGTGATAAGTATATAACCCCATCTATGGTTTTTACTATCACATATCCCCACAATGTGAACATGAACCTAATCATATCCCTGTAATAGTCATTAAGAAGTGTACTCTTGAACTGGCTCCTGTTCTCTCTACACTGTATAATAAATGCCTACCTCTGGCTTTCCTGCCTGTTGGAAGTCATCATTTATTCTTCCAGTTTTTAAGAACTCTGGTAAATTGTTTGAACAGTCCAACTATCGGCCTATTAACCTTCTACCTCTCTTTGGGAAACTCCTAGAGGCCCTAATCAATGCTGAATTGGTTCATCATCTCTCATTGCAGGGCCTTTTCTCAGACAATCAGTATGGCTTTCATTTCTCCAGATCAACAGCTGATGTCCTAACAATAATTGTGGAAAGAGTCTATCATGCTCTAGATAAAAATGGTGAAACCTGGGCTGACAGGGTCTATTAAATTGAGGCAAAAGATGATCAATTTTAACACCTCCAAAACTAATCTTATCCCCATTAATCATCTGTGAGGCTCCTCTCTGCCTTCTATCAGCATGGCTGATGCTAACCTCCAGGAAAGTGACTTGTGCCTTCTTGGGCTAACATTCTCAGCTGACATGAAGTGGAAAGACTATATTGAATCCATTGCTATAAGTCTACTATTCATCCATGCTTAGAATATAACTGCCACATATGGTTTCATGTCCCTGCTGTTTAACATGAGCACCTTGATAAGATCCAAAGAAGAATCAGCAATATTATTGGTCCTGATCTGGTGGCTCAGCTTCAGTCACTTACCCACCAGTGTAAATTTGCCTTTCTGTGCCATTTATAAATATTTTCATAGTAATTGTTCAGATGAGCTCTTTGCTATGGTACTTAGACTTGATGAATTTAAGTGTAGTACTAGACTGGCATCGAGATCTCATCAATTTACAATTGAGCTAGCTAGATTCAGCCTTAAGTTTTATGCTAACAGTTTCTCGCTTGTGGAACTCCCTTCTGGCTCCATGTTTCCAACCAACTTTAATTTGCAAAAATTTAAATGCAATGTCAATCACTATCTACTGTCCTCTTGATTACTCTTTTCTCCCCCTGCTCATTAATGTTTCAGTTCCTAATTCTTCCACACCTTGTAACCTCTTGCATTTTAGTGGTTTTACTGCCTTGTTTGGGGTGAATAAATAATAAAAAATAAAACAACCTCTAGCACAGCCTATTTTGTATTTCAATTTCCTTATTTCCTATGCTAAATTTGTCATAACTGTTATACACCAAAGTCTTTGAAGTTTTTGGTAATTACTAAATCCAAATCCTGAATTTTAATGATGGATTTGGGATACATATTATCATTGCTTTCATTCCAATTCCAGATCATAGTTTCTGTTTTGGAAAGGTTTATATTGAATCCTATTTCTTGGAAAATTGGATAGAGGATATTCATTTTGTTGTTCAAGATTATTATCCCAACTATGAACATCTATGTCATCAGCACATACCTCCTCTTCATCAATACATTGGCCTTGGGAGGGAAAACAGGATTGTTGTCATCTATAGATTCCTTTGGGATGTGGTACAGAATGCCCATCTTTTCACATATGTGCCTGTAAATATGCAGTGTATATTCTAGAAAAAGATTTAATAAACTGGTGCTGTCATTTCCTCTTTGTTATACTCCTGATAATGTTTGAAATATTTCCATATTGAGATACTCACTAGATATATATGATTTTGTGAACCAATATAGTTCTTCTTTTAGATTGATGCATACAGTCAGAGCATGGAAGATGGTCTTAAATGAATGAATCTATAAACTCTATAGATTTGATTATACAAAATTATATATTTACAAATAAAATAACTTTTCTATAGGTTTGATTTGAAATTGCAAATCAGTTTGATTTGCTTTACTTTATCTATGAGTCATTATCATCATCAAGAAAGCTACAGTGAATATAGTTGATATTTGGTCTCATATTGTATATAGTAATAGCATAACAAATACTTTGTACCTGTTTATGTATAAGTTTGTCCTAATAATAAGATTTCTTTGCACCCTGTCCAAAAACAGAGTGTTATTTATTTGCCAAATACATTTCTTATAGTTTAATGAATTGTTATATGAAGTTTCATTTATGTCTATATTTCTGAGATGAGGTATTATGTACACTATTTACATTATTTGGACTATTGTCCTCATCTTTGTTGCCATGTTTATCACAATGTTTCGACATTCCAACCACCGAAAGAAGGCCGGAGAGTACAAAAGACGAAACATTGGGATAAACATGGCAACAAAGATGAGGGCAATTGTCTGAACAATGTAAATAGTGAACTTTCATTTATTTATT